TGAATGACAAGTCAACATGTGCTGTGGTATGGTGCAACGCTCTGTCGTTCGCTGCTGCTGTTTCATTTTGAGTTTTCAGATTTGTCCTGTTTGGCAGCAGGACTGCTACAGCCAAACCTGCAGTTTACCAGCGGCACTGCTAGCTGTCCTCCATACTGTTCTGGATGCCTTAAGCCAAAAACTGGAAGGCTTAAAGGGGACATGAAACACTGCATGTATAAATGGAAATTAACACCATTGAGCCCTGGTCTCGAAAACTGACATGGATGTAACTCTGTCTGTGAAGCTGGATTTCAGAAACACGTGCTTAAAGTTTTTAATCATGTTTATCTTCTGTCAGCACAAATGTCACGTCGTCGGGTTGGTATGTTGGTTGGGTTAATAGACCTACATTAGTTCACATTAGGATCACATTTGTGCTGCAACAATGAAAAAGATGTTAAGAAACCAAGAATATACTGTCTACTTTCACTGCCTGTATACTTTTACAGTAAGTGGCTCCTCATTGTTTGGCTAGCAGCACTGAAATGGGAAAATCGATCTGTTAGCCATAATGTTTGTGATTGTAAAGCACTTTTAAAAATGGACTGTGTAGAGGAGTCACCCAACCAACAAGCTCATTAGACTTCATTTTAGAAGTGAGAAAAAGCAAAAGCCTAAATATAAGTGAAGTAATTGGAAAAGTGTGGCCTCTCTCTGGAGCCTGCAGGCTTTTTTTCTGCAATCACACTTATCAGCCTTTTTTTCCTGCCGACGTGCTAATGGGATTCCCGATCGTGCTTTGGTCAAACACGTATGTTTGTGGTGTTACTGTATGTAGTAAGACTGTTTAGATGTGCTTTGAAAAAGATTATGTTACTGCACAGAACCACTGCTGTCGCTGATTGCATCAGCTGATTGTGCTGCTAGCCAAACAACAAGGACCTCTTACTGCTTGAGACTGAGAGTAAAAGTGGACAGCATGTCCATGGTGACATGAAACTCAGTGTTACAGCCAGGGGCAGTACCAAAGTGATCCCCTTGTTCTGAGTTTTATTTTAGTGTACTTACTTTCCACTGAATTATTAGTTCTGTTACTAGTTAGCTAACAAAGTCTAATGTAAATCTATCGACCAGAACCCGGTGACGTATCGTTCTGTACTGACAGAAGATGGCGCCATTTAACTCTAAGCACTTATTTCTTAAATCCAGCTGCACAGACGAAGTTCGATCTGTTACAGTTTTTGAGAGCAAGGCCTCCATGGTTTAAATGAGCCTTTATGTAGTGTAGTGATAGGGGCAAATACGTTTTCACTGTAAAGACACGCTACTCTGCATTTCACTCAGCTAAATAGAAAACTTGTCAGGATATTGTTGCTTTTTATTGTTTATTTTCATCAGTTGAACATTATCAGCGTTGCTGTAGTTTGAAATGGGCAGGGTCACAGTTTGTTAAAGGCTGCTTTCTGGAACGAGGCCTGATTTATGTGAGAGCAGAGACTGAGACAGTCCTGATTAAGTGTGTTTCAGCCTGAGTGATTATTCAGTAGACTGTGAGGCCTCTTTAAGAGCTTATTCTTTGTCAGTAATGGAGCATTTTTAACTTGATGTTACAGTTAGCAGAGTTAACCTTGTCTTTTTTCATTAGGCTTTAGGTTTTAATTGTCAAAACCTTCTTGGTCTATTTTTATTACTGGGTTTAAATGGTTGCAATTAAAGGTAAATGAATAATGATGTGTTAATTCTTTAAAAGTCCAGTTTGCTGCCGTATCATAAAGAAACAACACAATTTAAAAAAAAAAAACATTTAATTTAATATTTGTATGAACATCGCCGCTATGAGATTTTATACAAAAACACACTGCAGTAAAAACCATAAAGAAGACATTAACTGTTGCTTACCATCTACAAATAACAACAAAAAGATCTCCAATTACAGCCTTAGTCTAGTCTTCATTTCAGATAGATACGTCTGAAACTATATGATGTTGTATATGCAGATGCCAAGCAGAAGGACAAGTGGTAGACAGAGAAGAGTCGTGGATGTAGTGAAGGAGAACATTAAGGGTCGGTGTGACAGAAGAGGATGCTCGAGCTAGAGTGTGATGAAGACAGATGTGTGACCCCTAAAGGGATCAGCCAAAAGAAGAAGAAGTTTTGTGAAGGTAGAGCTACAATCTGACTTTAATTTGACTTTTTTTTAAATATGTTGATGATGCAACATACCACTGACATTATATAAAAGCACAACATGTATCTTTTTTAAGTTTTAATGTTGAAAAAACTCTGTATGATGTCCCCTCTAACACAGTGATGGATGACAGGTCCTGACTGCACACAGGGCATAAACTTTAGTTTCATTCAGAGAGACGTGACAGCAGTAACGGACTTCAGCAACGCCACAGTTCTTAGAGGTTGTTTTGCTGTAGTTGGCATCCAGAGGATGCTAAACATCAAGCCACTGATGATTAATTCATCTAAAAATCCCTCAGATCAGTATTGTCTGTACATGCTTTATAACCCAAGTGCAGACAGAAGGTGGCCTTGTCAATATGTTGAAGTTATTTAATTCAGCTTCACATCACGTTGTTTGTGACGGGATCATCAGACAAAAGAGTGAAGCCTCTCCTGACAAGAATGCCCAATTTCATCCCATTGTCTGGAAGACATGCCCTCCTGCTGCTGACAGCCTGCACTCCCAAGTCAAGTCACTGATCAGGATGCAGGGATGTGTACTGGAAGGTTATTATGTCATGGGAAGATTATTGTACAAGTCAGAGAATTACTTTTATTAATTTAGAAGGCGTTCTGCTCAACATTTGCAATGACAGGTTCTAATCAGAGAAGCCCAAGAGGCCCAGTCTGACAGCTTTAATTGTACCATCTCAATATGAAAGTACAATTTCCAAGTACTTGTTCAGAATAAAGGCAGTCTTACCCAACTGTGTAACACTGTAATAATTAAAGCGCACTTGGCTTTGTATCGTGAACCCATGTTGTAGAGCCACGGTCCCCAACCCCCGGGTCATGGACCAGTTTGGTACCGGGCCGCAAGAGTTGAGGCTCGGATCTGAAATTCATGGTTTTCAGGGTTTTGATCGTTAACTCGGTTTCCTTGGGTCTTTTCGCGTGTTGTAATTGTGTGTCTTATTGTGAAAGAAATATTTATGTGTTACCATAGCAACCAGAGAGCATTAAGGGGCAGAGAGGAGGATGTTACTCTCAGTGTTGTTGGTGCATTTCAGGAGGACGCTGCTAATAAAGTTACACAATTACACATTGATTTATTTAGCGTTTATTATTATATTTACAAAATACCACAGTTTTTGTCTCGGTCGTATCGTTTTATTTTGTTGTATTTATCTACCACACCTTAAAGGACGGCCCGTGTAAATATTGTCTGACATTACACCGTCCGTGGAGCAGAAAAGGTTGGAGACTGTAGAGCTGAATTCATCTGAAGACTCACGATCCATCCAAAGACATCTGAGAACGTTTGCTGATTACAGTCAGAATGACTCTAGTATTTCTTTACCATATGAGGAGTGGAGAAGGAGAAGGTGCTACAGAAGTTAGATACCATTAGACGTGTCACCTCAGTGTTTCTACTACATATGCTGATTTCTATTATATGAAGCAGCGTTGATAATGAGCTATTCAGAAACAATTATTTTGGAAGTTTTATATCCGTCTCTCTTCACAGCCTGCAGTGGAATCAGTTAAACCATCAATGAGACGCCTTCCACAGACAGACTCTAGATTTTACCGCATTACAGCTGTATTGGAGCTGTAAATCAGCCGCTAGCTGGAGTCTACAGCTCTCCACCCCACCCAGCCCCCCCCC